CAGCGAGCTACGGCGCTACCTCAACAAAAGCGGTACAACAACGAAAAATCATGTGTTCATGTCCTGCAGCAGCATCACTTGATGAACCTGATGTGAATTTGCTAAACCGGAAGCGAAGCCAAGGGCGGTGGCCGCGGGGCATGCTCCCCAAGCCCGAGTTTTTTCACTTTCAGTACGGATGGTACCCAACAGAAAGTTTAAGAATGTATGTGATGCGTACTCACCGAGCTCCGCCATCTCTCCCATTAAAACGTGGGGTGCGCCCCTGCTTCTGAGTAAAACTCAACTTGGTAATCATAACTTGGTAATCATAACTTAGTAACATCTAGTTGAATGCGGGGACAGCTTTACATTGACTAGCATGCAGTAATACAGATTCTCTGACGTCACTGGCGTTGCCGCTGTTTGATTTGCAAGTGCGGATTCTCTAAACTCAGTACATATTTACTCCGCTCAAATGTGGATATCGGTGCACGCTCGCTGCGCTTATGCCAATAACACAATACGTTGCAGCCTTGTTGGTTAAATCCGTTCGGCCTGCGCCCTCCAGGTAACAATATGCCATTCGTCGAATTTCTGGAGGTCATGCATGAACACATGGAGAAGGAGAAGATCCCGGCCGACATCCTGAAGGCCTTCCGGGAGCAGGATCCTCGCGGCACGGGCTTCGTCGCGGTGAAGGAGCTGCGGCGCCTGCTGTTGCACTGGGGGGACCGGCTCAGCCACAAGGAGTGTAAGAACGCTGTACTGACCGGTGGCGAGCTGGACACCCGGTTGGCCGCCGATGTACCAGCCACAGTGTACCAAAGGAGATGTGGTGTAATATTTGCTATTTGTTGAAACAAACGTGGATGCAAATTGGACTTGACATGTGAACCTGTGGATGTGTAATGATATCTTCGTGGACAGTATGTAAACATCATCGCAATTTTGGGTTGTCACGCATACGTCATTACCCTGTTCTGAGCAATGACTTAATGGGGTTTAAACACCAAGCTGGCAAAAGCATTCTGCTGACTCCAAGACCTTTCCGCCTTCTTTGTTCAACCTCTGTGAAAAAGGCTTCAGGAGGGTAGCTGCTTACAGATTTGCACCTATCGATTTGCTACACAGTTTGCGTGCTTGTATTTTCTTATGTCAGATACGGCTATTTATCGCCTTCTGCATGCCAACAAAGGGCCCCTGGGATGCCAAAAACGTATTGGGTTTCTGCCGGCCCGATGTGGTGATAGCCATTTTTACTTGGGCTTTAACGCGCATGTCACTGTCTTTTACAGTGGAACGGATCTTCCGCGAGACTAATACGCCATCTAGTGGTAACGTCAAGTACGAGGACTTCCTCACGATCGTTTGCTCCCCACTGCCAGACTACTGACCGTCGCCGACATCGTCCAGTCCGCCTCTCGCAGGCCGGGGATGAAGAGGGAGCGCAGGGGAGAGTGGTCTGGGACAACCCGGCGGACGCCGCTGTATCGCTAACAGGCCCTGCTTGGTGGGAGCCATCAGGAGAACTCCTGTTCGTCATACGCGCCGAGCTCGTCAGCTCGCCGCAATCTAATGGCTTACCGTCAGCTCGCCGTAATGTGAGGGGCTTAGTGCTTTGTGAATGCCTTCTGTTGAAAACTGGAAATATCAAGTTGGCGACAATCGTATTATTTTAAGTCGCATTGCTACCCTCCCCTTTACTTTATCAGACACAACTTAGAACGATATGGCTTTCCCAGCCCATGTTTGTGGTAAATCGACTGTAAACCTGCAAACCTACACAAGCTTGGTTGGCGTGGAAAAGAACGACAGTTGTTTATTGATGTAGCCTTCGGGACGTCCATTACTGTCGCCGGCACACTTCATGACCACCATGCGGTTATCTTTGAAATGAACGCTGCGATTTTTGATACACTTTTGTTTTATTTCCATGGCAAGCGATGCAAGTATGCTGTTTCTCATGACGCTTTATGAGAATATGCATGGCTACGTCAGCTATCAAGACCATTCTTGCCGCAAAGCACGATGATCACAACCAAGTACGTTACTAAGCCATGTGTCTTTCTGGGAGTAAAAGATACGCGTGGCATAATGGGAACAGTAAAGCACGGCGTGCAGGTCAGCGGGGTGGCTCCGCGCGCTCTACGTTCGCACGACAGCAGGCGTGCAGACAAGAGGGCCGACGCTACAGGTGGTTCTCTTCCTGGTGCTCGTCGAACGCTTGCCAGCGGGCGGTGGCCGCCGCGTCGAAGCCATCCTGTCCCGACCCCTCCAGGCTGCGGAAGAGAGGGGATCAAGGGGTGACGCACCGTCGGCAAGGATGCTGCAGGTACCGACTTGTGCTTTGGATGCAGCCAGACATACGGCCTGGACCTCGCTAGTCCCCAACAGCTGCTCACCACTAACATCGTGCCAGCTAATACAGCATGACCAGATATGATTATGTGACGTCACGACTGAAAACAATGACTTCACAGTCAGCTACTACAGACAATTAAACAAGACGCATCTGTACCTAGGCCAGTGCTTCATCTCGGCAACACCCCCCCCCCCCCCCCACCCCCCACCGAGAGGGAGTGCCACCGTCCCAGCACCGATCGTCGGCCGGCCAGAGGTGAGCAGGGCCGCCTACCTGCTGCCCCTGCCGGCGAGCAGCTCGCCGTCCTGGTCGTAGACGGGGTTCTCTATATCATGGTGCGCCGCCTGGTCGCCGGAGTAGAGTCGGCGGTGGCGCGATGCGACCTTGCGGCGGCGGCGCACCAGCCAGACGCCGCCGCCGATCAGCAGCGTCAGCAGCAGCAGCGTCAGACAGACGATCCCGAACACGCCCAGACTGCTGCCGCCCACGGCCGCTGCCGAGGACCGAACACAAGCAGTGCCAATGAGAGGCCGCTGAGGTGACCGGCGCTCACGGTTGCACGGCGCTCGCGTGCTTCTGGTGACGTGTGATGGCTGGGTCTTCGGTGACACGTCGTACAACGTCATGCTAAATTGTTTTCGAGCTATAGGAGCATTCGTATACCGCGGACGAAGCATGCATTCTTCGTGGACGATATACTTATGATGGATTCAAATTAAAGGGGGATACCTGCGGGGGTCTCAATTTGTGTACTGGGGGGGGGGAGGGGGGCTAAACCCACCCAATGCTGACTTGAAGCTCCCCCCCCCATTGCAACAGGGCAAAAAAGGCAAAACTGGCCAATGGAACGAAGCAAGTGTTTGAAGGGCTAGTACACCAGGCACCCAAACACACCACTATCAATATTATCATAATTATATGCTATCACATCATCATATGCACAACTAAATCGGCTCCAAATGTGCTATAAATCCTGGACATGGAAGCAATTTGGAGGCGACCAAATTTCTATTTATTCGAACGTTAACAGCGGGGACCTGACTCAGAGCGGCCGAAATCCGAGATAAATCAAGATTGGAGGGTGGGTTACGTCATCTTTATTAGCTCAGTCCCCCCAAAGGATTTTAGAAAGCGACAGCTCTGGACATCTGTACCAGATAAAGCAAGAAAGACCTCGAGCTCTTGGGTTTTTGGCGTGGTGCGTCCAGATTTCTTATGTTGACGGTTATCGGCCTTCAGTATACCAGGAGGTACTGGTTTAAAGACGTTAACAATCAAACATTGGGTGTGTTGTCAATGCTCCACGTTTCAAGCTGTGCTTGTGACCACTGACTGAACCCGGTTAAACCAGACAATCACATTTCGAAACCAAGGCACCTTAATCCAAAAACGCATCCAGTATCTGGGCAGACATGCACGTAGAAATCCACAAATGAAAAATGAGCCGAGCTCCTACACCCCAGTACCCGATGCACGGTCCTATATTCAAGGGATCATGCCACCTTTTTTACTTTTCACTTCAATCAGTGTGACATCAGGCGCGTCTAATTCGATCGGCAATGCCAGTTTTCTCGCAATTTTCTGAATAGCGCAGAATTTCGAATTGGAGTAGCCACTCCTGTGGAAGAACTCCCATTGGACTCCCTGCTCACCACTAGGAAAGCAATGCATTTCATTTGCCTTGATTTTTCCAACGCGTGCTCTGCTACTGCTTGCAACATGCTGAATTGTTAACATTCCTGTGTAATACTTACTACAAAAGCTTGAAACAGCTGTTTAAAATAAAAAAAGATGTGCAAGCATGAGGCTATTATCACGTGATTTCAACTAAGCCGTGACACTACCTATAGCTATGCACATCTAGTTTCTGGGCTACCTTCCCGCAAAAATGGGGAGCGTTTTTGGGGAAAGCACTTCAACGCCACCTTGACATCCATGACGTCATAATAGCGTCATTAAAATTCTGCCATCCCATAAGCCATGCATCGATCACGGCAAAGAACAACATAATTGTTCGGGCGTTCATATCTGACGTTCGCGGGCACAAGCTCCAGATATAACGCCGTCAATTGGCTCTCAATCAATGTTATGCAAGGTGTAACGACGCTATCAAAGCACGACACATTACGGTGCATATTTTCTTAACAGAGAGTTGTGCTGTCTAGAGCAGTCACTTCCACTTAAAAGCATATCAGTAGTTATAAGTGAGCTTGTTTCTTCCTGCCCGATGCTTGCAGAAATATCGTCAAATGTAAAACATTTCATTAAGATGTGGGGGCTTGGCTGATTTATTATTTTGATATCTTTTAGTGTCATTGTCAGCACAGGCTTGTAGCATTCTCTGTATTCATGTATCTTGGTATCAAAATGTAATTTTTTGCTTCATCCTGTTTAACCTTGTTCACTTGTAACCACCAGCACGGTTTGAAAGGTAGAATATTGACCATATGGCCAATGTTTGCTTGATAGCGTATTTAAAGCAGTGTCTTCTCGTATATTGGGGGTCGACAACTGTCAGCATAAGGACAGTGAACTCATAATGCCTGCTAAGCACGAGGACAAAAGTAAGAAATACACTAGAACACGCTCAGCGCCTCTTTTCTCAGTCTCAGTTTGGGCCTCCCAGGTTCAAATACACTGACAGACCCCGATGCAGTTATCCAGTCTGTTGTCAAGTGGGAATAACGCAATGTTGAGTTCAGACACCACCGACGCTTGAAGCAGCGTACCGAGGCGAGACACGATAGACATATCTGGGAGAGACCACTTACAGCGGCGCGGGGCGAACTTGCTGGAAGCTGGCGGGGCAGGGTCACCTCCATCGAGCTCTGAAAACAAGGTTAAATGGAGGTAGATGCTTGCGAGTGCACTGACATTTCTCGCTGTTAATATGTTGATAGAAGCCAGAGGTAGCGTGGTGTTACAATCACCTTGCAACACACGGACGGTAGAAATGTGGAACCTGTATGGAGACATAATGCATCACTCGTACGTTCCACTAACCACACCGGAATTGACAATCGCAGACCACATTTCACCAGCTCCTGACGTTCTCTCACGCGCCGCCACTCCACATCTGCAACCCCCCCCCCCCCCTGCCTCAGCTGCCCCAGACCTCTTCCCGCTGCGGAGAGCCTGACGGCCCGGCGCCAGTTCACCGTAGCATCGCGTCGGCGCCAAGCAGCCGCCAACTCACCGACCATGCAGACGTACGGCCGGTACATGGAGCAGCGGAGGTCGTTCCAGCGGCCCGAGAGCAGGCGCGACGCCTCGACGCAGGCCTCGAGGGACGCTGACGGCTCGCCGTGCGCCCAGCCGTCCACCATCACCGACGAGCCGTCCACCCAGGAGAACGCTGCGGCACGCGCCGCTGTCAGGGCCGTCTTTGAGTGGCGCGCGGGCTCACACGTAACGCGCACCAGGTCCAGGGACGGACACATTCCCAGACCTTTACACAAACCAGTGCCTGCGAAACTCAAGGCTGTAAATGTCCGCCATGCATGAAGCAGTACTTAGGGGGTTTCAACCACTACCTTGATTGGTTAAAAATGCGCAGATGTCCACGATTGCTAAGTACCTAGGGCGCGACTAAAAACTGCAGGGACTCTCTCGATCGGTGGTGCCTGAACTCATCACTCATCCTTGTCCCTCAGTAAGGCAGCGGACGAGAGGAGTGATGGTACATATGGGAGCGTGGGATGAGTTGCATCTTACCCGAGAAGTGCCAGGGCAATATGTTTCACATCTGTGCGTCTGACGGCAGTCTCGAGTCACTCTATTGATGCAAAGCAGTTCGCTCTACCTTTCACTGTACTTCCGGCCGCAACTGCGCGCTCAAAATGAACGCGTCTCGGAGTAAGAACGAATTTTTTTCTGCATATCGTTGAAACTATAGCGATTGGTGTAAATGTGCGTGTAGGGGCTGAAGGCATAACTAGACTAATCTGAATTCAATTCTGAGTCGTGGGCAAGTACATGTGTCGTTCATGCTGCTGCAGCATGAGCACCTGAGCAACCGAAATGAGGTAACAGAAGCAAAATAAACAAATAAACACGCACACACACACACACACACACACACACACACACACACACACACACACACACACACACACACGCGCGCGCGCGCGCGCGCGCGCACGCACACGCACACACACGAATTCTAAGAACTTCCCGAGCTTGTTATGATCTTAGTGTCCTCATCTGAGCATCTTTTGGCTGATTGGCTATTGTTGCCGCTAGATTAGTTATTGACGTTAGATTAATTCGTGCTGATGAGTTATTCTTTGAAATATCTGCCCGGCCAATGTCACCGCCAGCCTCACCGCCAGCACTGTCCCCTGACGCCCAGCCTCACCGCCAGCCCTGTCCCCTGACGCCCAGCCTCACCGCCAGCACTGTCCCCTAACGCCCAGCCTCACCGCCAACAATGTCCCCTGACGCCCAGCCTCACCCCCAGCACTGTCTCCTGACGCCCAGCCTCACCGCCAGCACTGTCCCATGACGCCCAGCCTCACCGCCAGCACTGTCTCCTGACGCCCAGCCTCACCGCCAGCACTGTCCCCTGACGCCCCACCTCACCGCCAGCACTGTTCCCCGATGTCCTGCACCGGCCCCCCTGCCGACTCCTGACTCGCTTACTTCCGTTGTCCATCTGTTGAAGTCCAATCCAGGCTGTGAAAGCTCTGGTCAACCCGTTGATGGCTTCCAGCACAGCCAGGAAGTCGTTCTCCGACGAGATGACTGCCAGCTGCTGCCCCTGCACCTCGCAGCTGAGGTACCGCACAATACCCGTTATCATCGGTGAAAATATTCATACACTTCGATGGGCTGTGGTTTTGATGTTTCTGAATTTTAGACTTGAGCCAACCGGCAATATGCAGAAAGATTCGAGCCTTCTCATGATGAATTACACACAATGATTATGAAAAAATCATCTATCTCTGCTCTTTATACGGTATCAACGGGGGCACATTTTTCGCATTAATTCACAATGCATGAAGTGTACACGTAAATCACGTGACCACAGGACAGTGGAGGTTGGTCGATCCGGTGCGATCTTCCGTGGGACAGATTCGAGCCCCTGATCGCTGGATCAGCGACAGACTGCTTCCCTCCCTAAGGGATCACGAAAAGAAGTAGGTGTTGGGAGACAGCGCGGCCGTCGCGGGGTGGTTCCATTACTGCCGAGTGTTCGCTTGCGGAGGAGCTCGGCTTCGGGTGAGTGCTCGCACTCGGAAGACTCTGGCGAAGACAACAGGGATATCGGCTCACCGCTGACTGCCGCTCCATGAGGGCGGCAGTGAGATCAGCTCACCGCTGACTGCCGCACCATGAGGGCGGCAGTGAGATCGGCTCACCGCTGACTGCCGCACCATGAGGGCGGCAGTGAGATCGGCTCACCGCTGGCTGTCCCGCTCCATGAGGACGACAGTGAGATCGGCTCACCGCTGACTGCCGCTCCATGAGGGCGGCAGTGAGATCGGCTCACCGCTGACTGTCGCTCCATGAGGGCGGCAGTGAGATCGGCTCACCGCTGACTGCCGCTCCATGAGGGCGGCAGTGAGACCGGCTCACCGCTGGCTGCCGCACCATGAGGGCGGCAGTGAGATCGGCTCACTGCTGACTGCCGCACCATGAGGGCGGCAGTGAGATCGGCTCACCGCTGGCTGCCGCTCCATGAGGGCGGCAGTGAGATCGGCTCACCGCTGACTGCCGCTCCATGAGGGCGGCAGTGAGATCGGCTCACCGCTGACTGCGGCTCCATGAGGGCGGCAGTGAGATCGGCTCACCGCTGACTGTCCCGCACCACGTTCCCATTCAGGCGGGCTATAGGAAGGAGTTAGCAGGCAGTCGGGGACGGGAGAATAGGGTGGATATCTGAGCTATCTCCGTTACCAACTCACACGTCAAGGCACGCAGAAATAATGACGCTCTCTTTGCATGCTGTTATTCTTACGTCATTGTTTATCTCAATTATTTGCTGTGCACAAGCATCCCGACATGACTTGGAACAACCACAGCATGTGGAAATTTGGCTATGTATATTTCATTATTTTCGGCAGATCTACATTACTAGACACAAACTGAAGTCGTGTTGCATATGATGCGAGATCATGAGAGCTCACTGACCTGGCCTGACCTATGAGAGGTCAGAGGCCTAATCAAGTCTGGTGCCTAATAAGCAGCGCCAGTAAACAACCCCCTAATTAAGTCCTGGTGCAGCTTGTTGACTGAGGTTTGCCCCAAATCCATGATAACTACCAGACCTGCGTATTACGCACCTGTACAAGCTAGGAAAACGGCTAATACTTTTGGCCGAGGTGTGCTTCTCATGCAGTTGGGAGCTTCAGCTCCCCCCGCCCCCACGTGCGCTCAAGCTCCCAGCTTTCAAAGGAAAAAAGACCAAATCTGGAGAGAAAGCTGCTTGGTGGCGTATTTTGAGGTAGGTTGCGTCATTTTTTACTGTTCAACCCCCAACTCACTTTGAGAAACTGCTTCCTGCTTTGCTGCTTTCGAAAGCTACCTTTTGTCTTCGCTACCTGGCATGACACGAGCTTGCAACTGCTATCTAAATTTGATATTTTTCAGTCACATATCCGAGGCAGCGAAACTACTGTGCTCATTTTATCTCCCGCATCGGAAAGGCTGGAGGGGCTGCTCTGTCTCTTTGTCTCTGCCCCTCCGTTCCCGACTCACGCTTGTTTGGCCTCGTGCCAGGTGAGAGGGTGGCCCACGGGTGGCTGGAGGGGTTGCTCTCTCTCTTTGTCTCTGCCCCTCCGTTCCCGACTCACGCCTGTTTGGCCTCGTGCCAGGTGAGAGGGTGGCCCACGGGTGGCTGGAGGGGTTGCTCTCTTTCTTTGTCTCTGCCCCTCCGTTCCCAACTCACGCTTGTTTGGCTTCGTGCCAGGTGAGAGGGTGCCCCAAGGGTGGCTGGAGGGGTTGCTCTCTCTCTCTCCTCTCTCTCTCTCCTCTCTCTCTCTCTCTCTCCTCTCTCTCTCTCTCTCTCTCTCTCTCTCTCTCTCTCTCTCTCTCTCTCTCTCTCTCTCTCTCTCTCTCTCTCTCTCTCTTTGTCTCTGCCCCTCCGTTCCCGACTCACGCTTGTTTGGCCTCGTGCCAGGTGAGAGGGTGGCCCACGCTCTCCTGCAGCCGGTAGCAGCGCCGGTCGCTGGCCGACCACTGGCGAGAGGGGCAGCGGCCAGCGGCCGACAGTGTCCTCTCGCGGCGAGGCGCCCGCATGCAGACGTACGGCTGGTGCCGGGCGCAGCTCAGGTGGCGCCACCAGCCGGTCGCCGGACGCAGCGCGGCGCAACTGGCGCGAGCACTGGCCGCCGGTCGGCCCGGCTCCCAGTTACTGAAGGTGGGTTCGGCAGGCCACGGCGCCGTCCACTGCATGCTGCCGTACCGCTGCAGCCAATAATATAATAGTACAGCGCGGCTGCGAGACATGACACCTTGTTCCACTCTGTATTACGTTTGATGCGCACAGCGCATCAGTGTCGCCACTTTGACATCTGTACACACAATGTGGAGACCACAAGCATATGCGCTCTCCATTTGCGGCTAGCAGGTCATGCTAATTTGCAAATTACACACCTGCAGATGATTTTTTTTACTGCATTTGACTGGCATCGATCTAGCTCATCTCCTGTATCTTGCCCATTACGTTAGCTGTATTGCGCCAGCTTAAATCTTACAACAAAAATACTGCATTCACACGCGTTCATCCGCAATGCCCGACGTCGCAGTCGTCCAAGCGTCGGTCAGATTCAGTCAGTACTGTTCACCATTCACCAAGTGCTGCTCTCACCTCGGTGTCGGTCAGACCCAGCCAGTACTGGTCTCCGCCGTCGCGGTACAGCAGCGTGACCAGCGCGGCGTTCTCAAACACGTCGCCCACGTAGGCCAGGCTGCTGTTGTCCTGCTGGCAGGTGCTGGCCGCCTCCTGCCAGGTGGCCGGCCGGCGTACCACCTGCCAGCAGCATGCGCCTGACTCCAGTCCCACCCTACGCGGAGCAAGGCTGGTACGTACCGGTCCGAGTCTCACCCCACGCGGAGCACGGCCGGTCCGCACCGACTCGAGTTCCGCCCCACGCGGAGCACTGTCTGCCCGTACCGACTCCAGACCCACCCCCCGCGGAGCACGGCCGGTCCGCACCGGCTCGAGTTCCACCCCACGCGGAGTACTGTCTGTCCGTACCGACTCGAGTCCCACCCCCGCGGGGCACGGTCTTTCCGTTTCGACTAGAGTCGCGTCCTGACAGCAGTGTTTGTTTGTGAGTCGCTCGACGTCCCATTGGTCTTAGTTGGTGATTAACGTCAGGTTTACGATCGGATGTAAACATTGGTCTGATTTAAGCGCACCATGTAGCTCTTGGAACAGAACAATGAGCAGAGTGCGCAGTGAACAGAACGGCGAACAGAGCGCACAGTGAACAGAACGAACTAAAACATGACTGGTTTCATCGAATGGGTAGGCTACCGTACAACTAATACTAGCGCATTTACTTCACCGTCACGATGCAAGAAACATAGGAAGGAGGTGGTAGGACCGTGACACAGACCACGACATCCTAGCGAGCCATCAGATTGGATTATTTTATCCAGGCACTCAAGATGCCGCAAAACAGTAGCCCAAATACTTCCCTCTCCTTTTTCGGCGAGTACTCCTGCTAGAGGCAGGTACGAAGGCTGATTAACTGCGCGGAATGATACTGTCGTTCATCCTAGATATGTCGTCCACTGTTCGTGCAGTTGCGGCCAGGCCGGTAAGCACTGGGCACGACAAAGTACCCCACAATGCACTGCTGGTGGAAAATACAGGCGGTTCAATATACCGTGGCTCCAAACATCATGGCATACGTCGCCCTATGGCACTGTCTGCCGCTGGTTCACCTGCGCGACGGGGCGCTGAACCCACCTTAACACAGGCGTCGCCAACCGCAAGGAAGTTGTCGTGGGGTGGCGGGCAGTGCGCCGACTCCGCCGCCGGTGCGCCGCCGACCGTCTGCGACGTGCTGGGCACCACCGGCCGCTGGCAGATGTAGCCGAAGGCGTGCGTGCAGTCGACGTCGATCCAGGCGCCGGGGGAGTGACTGCGCCCAGAGTCCAGCAGGCCGCAGGTTTCCGGACAGCCGTCACACTGCAGCCGACGGTCACGGCCGTCACGGCCACGGTCACGGCCGTCACGGTCACGGCCGTCACGGTCACGGTCACGGTCACGGCCACGGTCACGGCCGTCACGGTCACGGCCGTCACGGTCACGGCCGTCACGGTCACGGTCACGGCCGTCACGGTCACGGCCGTCACGGCCACGGTCACGGCCGTCACGGCCACGGTCACGGTCACGGCCGTCACGGTCACGGCCGTCACGGCCACGGTCACGGCCGTCACGGCCACGGTCACGGCCGTCACAGCCACGGTCACGGACGTCACGGCCACGGTCACGGCCGCCACGGTCACGGCCACGGTCAAGACTAAGGTCACGGCGTGGTCTGCCGCACGACGGCCGGCGACCACTGGTCACAGTGGTAACAAGTAACCGCCACACCCAGCGGTGCATTCGGTGACTTCAGCTTCATTTGAGGTTCGAATTGAAAAGGTTTACCGAAGGATCGCCTAAATCCCAGAGGAGCAGCCGCGCGGGTCGGGCACGACGCGGACGCTGCGCCGTTCGCCTGCCGGATACGAACCACGTTGGACGGCTGCCCTGGTGCCCAGTGCGTGAAGTTCACAGGCGATTCGTCCGTCCAGGTGGGGAAGCGGACCTCCTGCTTGACGTACGTCAGTCCCATCCAAAGGCCGGCCACCGAGTCTTTCATGGCTAACGTCACAAATGCTGCGAGGCACAGGCATAAGTAGTCAAAGACGACGAA